TTTTTTTTTTTGATTCCCTGAGTGGCACAGCCAGTCTCTCTACAACTCGTTCTTTCGTTTCATTGGTGAGTTGATATAGAAGAATAGAAGGATTTCACTGTCATGTGTTTGAAGACATTTTATGACGCAGGCTTTGTTTCATCCCTTAGCTGCATACACAGACTGAACAGTGAACAGTGATGCTGATGCATATTAGAAAGTCTAAACCGCCATAAAATAATAGAGCATGAGATAAGGGGTCAATTAAAGTATCATGAGCAAGAAGACATGTTTGAATGTAGTTTGTGTTTCATCCCTTAACTTTAAACACAGACCGAACGCAGCATGCGGTAGGAGTAAGAATCATCAGTGCAGCCTTCTATCCGTCACGTATATGATGAGAATGTATCAGATTGCATAGAACTGTCGACTTTGCTAATGAGGCAGCTATTAACAGTCTTGCGAACTTTTGATTGCAGTTGCTATCTGATATCACTCAGGCTAGTCTAAAATGTCCCTGGATGTCATAGAGAATGAATTCGAAGGTAGTCAGACTCGGTGTAGATTTCTCGAAATTTCGAATACAAGAATATTTGGAATCAAAACATGAAGCGAAGCAGCTACGCATGATACTGACATGTAATGATTCTTGAATTTTGCGTATGTTTTGAACTTTAGACGGAGTGGCGCTGGTGGTGAATCGCGTACTTCACGTCGATCACGGCGTACGCCGAGGGCAACGGATTCGTCGGATTCGAGCCGAGATTCGACAAGTCCAAGGTGAACTCAGTAGACGGCCCCACTTATTCCGTATTCATCATACTGCTTGCTTTAAATTCTAATACAAGCTCGTTTCATAGTTTAGAATGTTTTAAAAATGTCTCAAAACATTCTGCTTGGATAGCTCCAAAAGTTGGCACATATACATCGAGCAGGCGGTGGAAATCAATTTGAGGTGTGCAGCTCAGGATCGAAGGACCTGGCATAATTATGTCTGGCGTGTATGCCAGTAATATCGCCAACATGGGATATCCACACTGATAGCTTGTCAGCCTTGGTATTCTTGGTCAGAAAATGGATTTTGTAAACAAATTTATGTTCCATTTACCCGTAAAATAGGGCATTTTACATGCTGCTAAGATGACACCACAAAATAAGATTAATGCACTTATTTACAATGCTTTTGAAAAAGAAAGAAGCAGGATTAATGCGAATTAGTGCTGGACTTTTCAAAGATCTAGACAGTGTACATGTCAGCACTTGAATTTTCGTAATTTTCGAAATGTCGGCAGCAGCTACAGAATTTAAGAAAAAAAATTATTTGCTTGCTGTATACTCAAAGTGATGAAGTTTTTAATATTAGCAGTGCTTCTAAAGGAGAAGTCACAGTGCGAGACTGCTAATAGCATCGACAGTAGTGTGCATCATCACTCAGTGAAGAAAGACAGTGTCTCCGGAAAAATTACTCCAAATTTTTGTAGCTTCCGGACTGGAAAAATCTGGGAAACGGAAAAACTATTCCAAGTTTTTGTAATTCGAAGACTAGAAAAATCTCGAAAAATTTTTCTTTTTTACCAGCTTGTGAGCATATGAGCTTTAACTTTTTTTTACTTGCTTTTCTACCGAACAAACTGAAACACTGAAGGAAGATGGAGGAGCTGGGCCGAGCAGCCAAAGCGGCGGCGGCAGCTTCTATAATCTGTGTGTGTGTGAGTTAAACCTGAACATTGCGCACTCTAGGTTTTTGAGATGTGTGTACACATTCACCTACTCCAGCTGCACCACTTCAGCACGGTTGCTTGGGTAACAGCAGCACCTGCTCTATTTACAAAATGTTTAAAAAATGGAGTGATTCATCTGATGTGTGTTCTTTAAACTTCACAACCTCTGGATTTTAGGTTTCCGTTTGCTACCAGGAAAAAGCATTACTCAGGAGGAAGAATGTCAAACATTCCTCCTGCAACTTTCTCGAATTTTGCTCTTTTTCCCTGGTAGAGAAAGGGGGAAATGGGGGTGATGGGTGCTAGTTGGAAGCGGTAGCCCAAGACCGAAGAACCTCAGGTATAGGTGGGTCCAGCATATAGAAGCATCCCAATGTAGCATCACTCATCCCCTGTTTGATGTATGTGTATTTGGTATTCTTAGTGTACGGGAGGCATGAATATAAATAAAATATATATATGAATATAAAATACATACGAATTTATATAATATAGAAATATACGGCATAAATATAAAATATATATAAAAACATAAAATATGTAAATAA